TGGTGTTTGCCCCCAGGCTGAAGATGAAAAGTTAATCAATTGTTCTCTCTTTTGGTACAAAGGTGTACAAACTAAGGTGACTGTGTTTGGAACTCTGGCCCCTTAGTTGCCTTGTTCAGAAGCACCTTCACTGAGAGCAGTGAAAACTGGCAGCTGCAGTACCAAGAGCAAAGGCCCATGTAAGTGGGGGTACTTTTTGATAACAGCATGAAGGCGAAGACCAATGTCACATCAAGCTTTTCTCCCACTGTATCTCAGCTTCTGGTTTCATGGCTTCAGACCTCCTCAGCCACAGAAAGTATCTTCTTTCCTTACAGTCCATTAACTTCTCATCCCTGAATATGTCTAGCTTTTTTTAAAGATCAGGTTTTAGACAATTCAAAGAGCCCTGTGTCAGTGATTATAATTCAGTCAAACTATATTTCCTTATGGTCAGAACCTGGCCTTGATTGGCTTGGACACCATGCACAATGCTGAGCAGTTGCAGAGGCCTATTATTTGGTGTACATAAGAGCTTTCCTTTGAATCCAGCATTAAAATAGTGTTCTGTCCTCTTTGAGCCCAGCTGTGCACTGAGATCTGCAAGCATCTCAGTGGCTTTGACACCCCCAGTTGCTATCTATCTGCTTTTGGCAATTAGTGGTGCATCAGCTGCAGAGTGACATTTTGCTGGTACCCATAGAAATAGCTGTTTTCCAGTCTCTCGGTGAAGACTGGATTCATACAGTTCAGAAGAAGGAGAGATAGGATGGGTGCCCTCAGACAATTGAAGATTTAGCTTAATTATTCTGAGCTCACCAGAAGTCCACTCTAATCACCATCAAGAGACAAGAAGTTGAATTGACATTGAAGGCTTTGGGAGAGCAAGCTTACGCAAAGCTGAGGCAGAGCCTATTTCTGAATTGCTACAGCTCACAGCATCATCTCCTTTTTTTGGCTGATCTCAGTAGTGAATACTCATAAGACAAAACGTACTACCAGGCCTACATCTCAAGTAATATTGAATTAAAATACCAAGTAGCAATGTTGCATATTTGGCTGTCTGATATGGAGAGAGATGGCACACACTTGGGAACATCAAGTCCTAAATATCTCAGAGAAAACAAGTGAACTGGACACAAGGCAGATTTGACACAGAAAGTTTGCCAGCTGTTTTATTAGATCACCACTCCTAATAGTATGTGTATCTCACCACTGCCAGTTCCTGAAATCTAGACATCTCACAAAGGGAAAAAGCACTGGTTGCAGTCTCCATTTTGTTGGAGTACAAGATGAGTATTCTTTTACTCTGCATAACAGAAAGGCTTGTCTGTGGCCACAAATAAGGAGGTAAGCTTTATATGAATGACAATAAATTCAGATCCTTTATCCCCTGATGTGTCCTTACTAGTGTTTTGGAAACTGATCTAGTTTTTAATTGGAGTCTCTGGAATTTAAAATTGCATTGCTGTCAGTGGAGCCAAGCATCTGTCTTTCTCAAGAAAGAAAAAGAATCAAAGAAAATTGTCCTAGCTTTGTCACAGATACACTAAGCAGCCACAGTTCTGCAGTTCTCTGAAAAGCAGCAATATGAAGGCGGTAGCTGACCTTGAATAGTTCTCAAATAGTCAAGGGCTTTGAAGCAGAGTGAAATGTCTTGTAAGAAATCAAAGACATCAACAGAATAGCATTTGGCATGACTTTAGACAATAAAGCTTAGGCTCAACCACTCTGCCTGGGACCAGGAAAATTAGGTCCTGCTTTCTCCCCCATAACCCACATAAGTAAAAAAAGGTGTCCCCTGTTTTGGGTTTCAATTCCATTGATGTTGGCCCTAATAAATGTTCACTCTTTCAGGTGGAGAATCATGATGTTTTCCTACAGCAATCTCTTGAAGTGGTATTTTTGGAGGAGCCTGAACTGCTCTAATTCTTACTGAACTGCTCTGTTCTTACTGCAGTCAGCCAGAATTCTGCTGGTAGAACTGCTAGCAGTCAGGCAAACCAGAATTTGATTGCAGCTGTCAGAGAGTGCAGTTAGGCCAGTGCTGCGAGGCTTTAAAGTGCAACCATGGTATCATATGAGAAGATAAAAGCAAGAGAGGAGGAGGGAAGTAACACAAAAGTTACAATCCCATCATATGTCTGTTCTCCTATATAACATGGGCAACAGCAAAATAATTAACTTACTATGGATATGTCACTAGCAAGAATAGGATAATGTGATAAATTTAATAGTGGACCTTCACCACTTCCTCTCTTTTCTTTCCTCTTGTAGGACCCTGCCATACCTAAGAACTCTTGTTACAGGAGTTATTTTCAAACTGCAGTTTCTAACTGTTATATGGCCCCTGAAGATAGTAAGAGTCACATATGCCAGCACTGGGCAATAGGAAAAGGAAAAGCAAGACATTTTTCTCGTTACATCAGATCTCTTTCATTATTTTTCCCTCTCCTTAGAGTTACAATCTGAGTACTGATATCAGCAGTCAACTCTTCATTGCCCCCATCCATACAAAAGGAATCTGCTTTGTCTCTGGATAAGCTTTGGATCTGTGAGTAGGAACCATGCTATGACAGTAGTGGATCTCTGCTGAGACACCTTCACTGCAATTCCGTGTATGAGCCTGATGCTCCAGTGAAGAGAGCCCTGTTTCCAGTCTTGAGCATCAGTGTCCATATCCAGAGTTTAGATTCAAACTTAACAAAATCAAGAGTAGAAGGAGGAGAGGAAATACATATAAAAACCTGCTATTGACTCTACCGGAAGAAGTAAGTCTCAGTCCTGCTGGCATTTAAACTTGTGCCTGCTTCTTTTATAGTTTCAGCTTACAAAATCTTGAAGTCCACTGGAGCTAGAAATCAGTTCTTCCCAAATGCTACACCTTATCAATCATGAAAGACCAGAGGCCTTAGACAGGGGCAAAGAACATAAAACACGGCCTAGCAGAGCTACACATTTACTTTTCCAATGCTTAACCAAGCCCTAGTCACTCAGAAAAGTCTGACACATCAGTGTAGCTGAAGTGAAGACTACTGGTAAAGCATGTGAAAATATGATTACCTCCACTTACTGCTCCTCTCAGGAAGCATGGGTGTACTTGTATGGAAAACAAATCTCTTTTTAAACAAAGCTGTTAAAACAAACTGTAGTACAGTTTCTCTGCACTAGACTTGCACTTTAGATTATCCAACTCTTTAGATGCCTACACATGGATGTTAAGCATGAAACAAAGACTTCCTTGTAAAATGCTATATTGCCTACTGAAGCAGACAACAAAAATCTCAGATCAAGGAAAAATATGACTCAGTGTTTTATTTATTTTGATGGATTATTTTTGTGTGTGTATTGTATTAGTTGATTTGAAGCAAAACATAACTGACAGAGTGCAAGATCCACCTATTATTTGCAATATACTTCAGGACTTGATGGGCTATTTAGTTTCCATGCACCTTCATCACATTTTAGCTCTTCCCCTTCTCCAATACACAGAACCACTGTGCACAAAAGGAAATATGAAATGAGAGGTATTTGGCAAACTGCTCCAAAATTTTATTCAAGTGCCCCCTCCTGTGGATATAGAGCTACATGCAGCCAAATAACAGTTTTAGAGGCAATTTAGAATTTTACTTGAGGTTAACTTAACAAAGAAAAAGGTGAAGGAAGTTGAACTTGGTCCTGTGAATGGGTCAGATTAGGCTGGCTTGCACCACAGCTTTGACTTTGAAAATACCTTTAGTTTTAAGAATAAGTGTTGGCTCTTGGATATACTCCATATAGCACCTCCTTTGAAAATCATAGTTTACAGAAGTGGTTATCTTAACTCATTCCAACTCTTGATAGTCATGTCAATGATAAGAGGAAAAGTTACAGTCAGTGATTATCTCCAGAACTGATCAAAAGAGCAAAAGTGCAAAAGTAAAGCATTATTTGGGGAAAGAATAATAAAAAATGGCCTACTATTGATTGCTTTCTATTGCAGAGTTATCTAGAAATAGAATTCCTGTCAAAACACTATATAGTTGAATCAGGGGAGACTTAACAGAAGCATATTCAGTATTCTTCCAACCCGTCTGTAGTAACCAGTCAGTAAGAGATACTGATGGTATTTTCTAAACATGACCTTGGTCTCAAAAAACATTAGCTTACCAATTTCCCCAAAGAATCTTCTATCATTTTCCCTGTTCAGGATTTGCACTTCACAAGCCAAAAATAGTTAATAGGCTATTTCTGTAAACAACACAGAGGTGACAAAGCCAGGCCCTCTGTGGCTGCCTACTTTCCCTCACTCACTGGAGGAGACCTCAATCACAGACCAGCTTTGGGCAGAGCAGGAACACATCTGTGTTTGTGAAAGTTCTTACTGAGTTTGGCCAAACTTCCAGCATAATGAACCGCACTATTCATGGATCTGGGATCGCTAATGTGGCTGGATTTCTGATGTAAACCGAACTATCTCTGCACCTGGGATCTCACTGAACATGACCAGACTTACAGTGCCTAGTTGTTTACAATCAGGAATGAAGCCCAGATGCACCCAGCCCCTCTGATCTCTCAGGACCAGCTGAAATGTGAGAGTTTTTCTTCTGCCAAACTTCTATACTCTTAATCAACACTTGTCACAGGAGAGAGGACATGGGGTGGACAAACAAGTGCCTCTCAATGGACTGTGTCCTGGACAGGTGTGCCCAGCAGAGACTCAAGAGACACAAAATGCATGTGCCACTAACAGTTCTGGGAGCCATGGCACACTGCAGCACCAAAAAGCCTCAGAGCCGTGACACATGGTGGGGACTGCACTGGGGCTTGTGCCAGCCCCAAGAGTCCCTGGGGTAGCACAGCAGACACAGGTGGAAAGGAGAGATGGATCTTAAAGGTCATCCAGTCTAAACTCCCCTGCCACGGCCAGGGGACACCTTCCACTAACACCAGGTTGCTCAAAGCCACATCCAGCCTGGCCTTGAACACTTCCAGGGATGGGGCATCCACACCTTCTCTGGCAGCATTTTTTGGTGCCTCACCACCCTCACAGTAAAGAATTTCTCCTAGTATCCAGTTTAAACCTACTGTCTTTCTGTTTCAAGCCATTCCCCCTTTTGTGTTTCTTCATCCTCTCGTAAAACCTTCCCCTTCATCTTTCTGTAGGCTCCCTTCCAGTACTGGAAGGCTGCTGTAACATCACCCCAAGGCCTTCTCCAGCTCAATAACTCCAGCTCTCCTAGCCTTTCCTCACAAGAAAGGTCCTTCATCCATCTGACCATCTTTGTGGCCTACTCTGGATTTACTCTAAATTTTAGTCTGCATCCTTTTTGTGCTGGGGCCCACAGAGCAGTCCGTAGTACTCCAGATGAAGTGCCAGAAGAGTGGAGTAGAGGACAAGAATCACCTGCCTTGACCTGTCGCACTTCTTTTACAATACTGGAGGGAGCAATGTTAGTGATGGTGATTCCTTCTCACTTACATATATTAGTTGCTAACATGCATTCAGTTCCTCTTCTGTTCATCCCCTTTTTTCTTCAGGATAGAGATTAAATTTGGTTACCATTCATGCTACTTAAGTTCTGCAATATTTTTGCACATGCCTCAGGAGCCTGGGCCATCTTTGCTGTACTGCACCTTCTCTGCTTGTGTGACAGTGCACAGAGACCACATCATGCTCCTGACCTAAACACAGCAGTATGGCACTGCTCACTCCTGCCCCTTCTACTGCAACTTTGCAGTGCAGCCTTTCTGTTCTGGTATCCCAGGTGCTGGGCATAAGGCAGCACCAGGGAGGCTTGTCTGCCCATTCCCAGTCCAGCTTATCTGGATGAATTGGCTTACTAGTGCAGGTTCTGCCACAGGACAGAAGTGTTTGGGAAAGTTTGGCTCCATCCTGGATTTTGCTTATGAGTGCTTTAAGCATTTTCCCATCTACACCTCGGAAGTCTATTTTTAAAAATACCAGTTTGCAAGGTCAGTGTATGAGGTGTTTCCGTGCATGTACAACACTAGATATGGAAGCAAGGAAGAGCCCAGGAGATGTGAGAACATGTCAGCTCAACTTTTCCCATGGAGACATCAGTTGCTTTATTTTACACGATGCTGTGCAGACAGAACTTAACCAGCATCTAGTGCAGGTCACAACAGCTAGTGTACCATCACCCACAGAAACACACCCACACTCACACCTTGTAGAGATGCTGCTGATTAGAAGCAGCGTGTTTATTATGTAGAGAAATTTAGACCATTTTTGGTTTACTTTTGCAGTTATGAGAACTTTAAAATACATTTGCCTAGCCCAGAAATTGTCAATTTAACATTCTTCAAATCTAGGGGGATAGAAACTGGAAGGATTGTTTTCCATGGAGACAGCAGATTTCTGACAGTGGAACGGATCTTTCAAATCAAGAATTGAAAAGGACCACACCATAGCTAAGGAACATTTGATTCATAAAAAGCCTTCTCTTTTGTATGTAGTTGGCTTTGTAAAGAGAGAGAGACAGCCATGTGAGTCAACAGATCAGTAAAACTGAACTGTTCCCCCTCCCAAAAATCTTTATTTTCATTTATTTGTCAAAGAGCCACCACAGTTTCTCAGGAATCAAAAGTATGCAAACACAAGCCCTTTGGACAAAATAGAATTGTATGGCTTGTAAGTGCCCACTGAAAGGACACAGTCAAAAAACGAAGAGGAAATTAAGTGGAAAAACAAGATAGCTTGAAGAAGAATGATATTAAGATTGTTCTTGGCATCCAAACCCCTGTGACTGTGTGCTCCATAGCTATATATCACATCAAAACACATCTTCAGTAGCTACTGGGACAGGCTGTGTTCAGGCACTGTGAATGCTACACAGAACACGCTGCTCTCAAAGACATTGAATACCCAGGAAGCTTGAGCTCAGACTGATTGCAAAATGCTGAGGTTCTTGCAAAATCAAAACAACTAGCAGACTTTATATCTATTTAAAATTAGGTTATGGTATTCTCAGAAGAACAGACACTTTAAAAAACTCAATATTCCACTGCCATCTACTTCTCTAAACCAAATCAGTGCTCGATGATGTGTTGTCCACATGTGCTTATTAAATGTCTCAGTATCTTGCTTTTACATTCAAGTACTAAGTCTCTTTCAAAAAAATAAATTAATTAGCCTCCTCTCTCAAATTTCCAGTCTGTATTAAAGTAACGCCCAGTTTTAATAAGAACAAGTATGTAGCATCTCTGAAGTAATGAACTAAGAGTTCAGAGATTAAGATTTCTTTAATTCCTTGATTTCTGGTTTTGGATGCAACTAACTGGCAGTGAAAGAGGCATTGAGAACTTTCATGTAATTTCATGCCTAGATGTGTATCTGCTGTGTAGAAACACCAGAAAATGGTGCCCTATGTGTTCATATTTTTCTAATATAAGTTGTGTATATTTAGTCTGGAATTCCTATCTGAAAGCCAGTGTATTGCAAACTGGGCTTTCACAAAGTGCTTCTGACCTGCCTTTAATCTGCTGAAAGTCTGAGGGAACAGGGCAGGAAAGAACAATCCTTGTAATCCAGAATTCTGAATATAGTTTAAAAGGATCCAGCACTCGGCATCTAGCTGCCTTAATCACAGTGATATTTCAGTTCCTGGCTCTTTCAGACTCTAAATACCCTAACTTCATCTTTCACTCAGCAGAGCTGCAGAGCTAAAGCAGCAATGCACCATCACTTGCAGACGGCTCTGTTGGCTAGCTGTTGTCAGAGGCACCCTGGCACTACGGTCAGGTGCCATGCAGTTGCACCCAGACCACAACCCTGCCAGTATGACAAGCATGAAAGAGGGGTTTTGCTCACCATTCTCCCTTGTGCTTCCTTCCACTCCTTGCTTGTGTCCTTGCACTAAGAGGACTTGGACTACGGGCCAGCTCTGGCTTCCTCTGCAAAAGCAGATCAAACTGGCATTAGCAGTCTGGAGAGTCATCTCCCTGAAACGCTGCTTAGATTATGAAATCAAACACAACCTAGAGCTTAAGAGAACGGGGGGTTAACTTGTTCAAGGCATTAACAACTAGCAGCTAAAAAGGGGCCAGGAGGAAAAATGCTCCCTAAGTACTGCTGGGTCAGCACTACATAGTTTGAGATGGAACAAGTAAAAAATTTTTTTCAGTTGCACCTAGATGGATAAATTCACATCCATGCCCCGTTCCAGATGTACCACCACAATGGCTGCACTGAATGGATCAAGCACACATAAAACCTGATCATTCTGTTTTTGTGGCTCAAGCCTTCAGATAGTGTAATAAAAAGTGATTAGTGGCATTTTCACTAGAGACAAATCTGAATCTGTTCTCTGAAAAGAACATCTTCAGAGACATTTAAGAAGCTTTAAGGTCAGATATCTACAAATACCTTAAGATGTTGGGTGTTTTGGTTTCTGAAAACATTGTTCTATAGTTTGTGTGCTTTCAGCATGGGAAATCTTCAGGAGCCATGAGTGTTAAGATGGCTGGACAATCAGTGAGCTTTGCCTGATGCTGCCAGGACCTGAAGGTATTTGTACGCTTTGGTAGATTTGACATTGCTCCGTAGCCAGTACCAGTGACATAGCTTAGGGATTAATAATACAGCTGTCAAGGCTTCTTATCTTCTTCATCCACCAGTGTGACAGGACAGCATGTACTCACAAGTTTGAGGCCCCATGCACACCTGGGGGCATTTACAGAGAGCTTTTATTGTTAGCTGTAAGTAGTCCCAAAGTGGAGGCAGTAAAGAATCTACAAGAGCTGAGCCTTATGCATGTGCAAACAAATAACCCAAATTCAGTGTCCCAGACATTTTTTTGGAACATTTAAAATCAAAGTGTGAGGCTTCTTAGAATATGTCTGTGAGCAGGACAGTCACCTCTGTGCCAAACAGTGGTCACTGGATGTCTGCAAAGAGGAAAACTGCAGAAAGTCCATCCATTAATTCGAATTTCCAAGCTTCCTAATGATACATTGAAAAGGCAGTCTGCCTGTGACAAAGCTAAACAGAGCTAGTTCACTCTAGCTAGAACACTGCCAGTTCCTAATGCCAGCATATTTATAATTTTTTTGGTTATTAGGATTTGCTAATAGTGTTTGGGACCTGACTTAATGGGTAAGACTAAATTATCAATTGTGGCTTCTCAAGGCTACAGAAGAGGCTGCTCAAACATTAGTAATTTGCTTGAATCTAGATAATCAAGCAGAATTCAGATTTCTCTCCAGTCTTAGACAAATATTCACTTTGAGTGCTCAGGGCTCTTGTTATCTGGTGAGAAACTGAACTGCAGTCATCAGAGAGCTTTATCAGCCATTATGGCTATTTCCTGAATAAAGGTGAAAGTAAGACTAATAGTTTATCCAGTTGCAAATTAAGAATTTTGTAAAATACCATATATCAAAGTAATCAGACAAAAACGTTGTTCAGGAATAGTGTTTGCCTTTCAACTGCAAGATTAAGGAAGTGGTCACCTGCCTGTTCTCAGGAGAATCACAGCCTGGCAAGCCATTTCATCTGCTCCACAATGCAAGGGAGCAATGCAAGCAACTTCCCTGTACCCATTTTTTAGGATGGGCTGCTTAGAGAGTTTGCTCAAAACCATACTCTGACAAGATCTCAAAAGCAGATTTCATCCAACATTCCACACTAGAACATCCATCTTAGCACTTCAAGCAGCTGTGACAGAAACAGAAGAGGGTTTATAACCTCCTGCATCATGTATTTCTGAAAAGACTGCATTAAAACTGCGGGTACACTATGTTGTAGCATATTTGGATATTACATACCTATATATGGCTTATTGACTACTGATCTAGAAAACTGTATCAATAATACTTATTTTTCTTAAAGACTATGCTTTAATTGGACTTGAAGCTATGGCATTTCAAGTTATATGCACATATGTAATAGTTCTTCTAGTTGCAAATTCACCATCTCATGATCTTAGGAAATGCAAAAATTTGACACTAATTGTTAAAGAAGCAATAGCAAAGCAAGATTAAACATAATTCTGGCCACAGTTCTCTCTAATTTGGCCCAACAGGTTATGTTAGTATATGCATTAGACAACAATCAAAGACGAAGGACAAAATCTTTGCCTCCAACTTCATACCA